CTCTCTTTCAATAAATTCAGAATTAGAAATAATCATTAATCACATGTGCACCTGCAGGTAGCCTCCAAAATAAGGTTTGCAGTGTGTCCCTTCTTGATGGGTGAAGAAAATTGTTCTGGCACTATTTAAAATGGATATGATGTGAAACTAATGGTGATCTTGTCTGCCAAAGAGAGATTTGCACAACCTCCATAATTTCAATTACCCACAACAATACTCCACGCAGTGTGCAAGGCTCTTTTAAAACTGCTTAGTTCTGCCATCCCATGTTATCGTCTACTAAGGATGAGTGCCTGCACTGTTTGAGACTGTGTTTTCTTTATTGAAAACACAACACTCAATGTTATTTTCTCAACTGCATATTTGGAATTTGGAAATTCTCCAAGGCTCATCTTGTGCAAAAAAGAAGCCTTAGCATCTATATCTGGGAAGTTCATACACACTAGTGTTCAGTTGATGTTGGTAATAAACATTTGTAGATGTACAAAAGAATGGAAGCAAAGTGGGATTACATCATAATTTCATTTCAAGGAATCAAATAAGCATGTATTATTGAAAGCCTTTTTTAACGTGTTTTTAGTACCTAAGCATCTTGACTATAAAGTTAGAAAGGTCCTGTGAACTTATCCAGCTAGTTTAACTTCCTTTCCAATTTCACTCCTGAGAACAAAATGAACACTACACATCTAATTTAGATTTAGGCATTAAATCTAATACATTTGCAAAGCAAAATAAAAAATTTTATCTGTACAGTTCGAAACTATGAACTTTTGTCTCTGCTAGATACCCAGAATTATGAACTTTCCTTAAGTATGACACAATTAAGATGTTATGGATATAGAAAATAATGATTTACCAAGCCATATAAACTACTGAAAACTGTGGGATAAACAACTGGCATTCATTATTCATTACTTCTGAATCCAAAGGCTGCTGGTTCCAACTTGGACATATACACAGCTGAACACACACTTCCTGGTTATGTGCAATCTGCACAGATAGACCAGCTTTACAGGCCTGACCACAGAGATTAATAGCTTTAGCCAAATAATGTGGTAACCATGTGAACCTGGGCTGCTCCAGCTTGTTTGTGAATCTCTCAGCAAGGCTCAACATGCCGTTATCTGCATCTTGTTGCCAGGAAACACAACATCGCTTTGGAATACAAGGAAAACCAGGATGCAATGACCACAGGTCAACTTCCCAAAAGCCTAACTTTTGACACTTAGCTATCTACTATACTACAACATTTCTTCCTGTAATCTTCAGAGAACTTCACTTTACTAGTAATTTAACAGTTAATACTTTTTTGCTATTTTCCCAGGATAGGACTACTTATTACCACTAACAATGTAGTAGGAGCAATGGTAATTATAATAATTCACTCATAGTTTTCTTCTCCCAAGTGTCAGATTAGTTTACTTCACTAAAACTGATTCAGAAGTCAAGCACCCATTGCAACTACCTCATAATACAACAATGCATGCTTATGGGCCCGTATTTATGTCTACTCTTAAGTAAAATAATCTCACCAAAGGATAAAAAAATACCCATATGCTCCTGACCTAAGAGTTCCTGGATTTTCTGGGATCAAAATGATTGTCTTGCCTTGTTCTCATGGTAACAGAATGTCATGTGTTGGCCAGTAATCCTGCTAGTTTCTTCCTGACCAATTCAAACAGATAGAAACTTAATGTACCAAGATGCTGAAGTACTCAGCAGACTGGAAATTTGCTTCATGAGGGTGAAGTGGGAGCCACTGTTCTGCAGAGTTTTGCAATCTAGAGACAGAAGGATTAGAGTGGCTTTGAGAGTATATAAAATTAATTACCCTTGACATAGCAATTAGAATTGCTAGTTCATGGGCAACAGAGATTTTGGACAATACCTTATAAAAAGATTTTTAAAATAAAATGGAAAAACATTATTTCTTCCAATGCTGGCTTAAAAAATAAGTTAAAAGTACTTAGCTGTATAAGATTTTCACTACCGAAGCAAGATATAATCTTGAGTGTAATATATTATCAAGATAATACATTTATAGTCAGGCATACTACACTCTTGATATGACCTGTTTTATCTCATTGGGTCTTCTATGTAATACTTTGGAATTTGAGCATTATACTGTTTCTCTTCTTGTTCCACACTTCCCTTTTGAAACACAAGATGTTCTAGTCTCATGATAATTCAGTTGCTAAAAAGACACATGGATTTCTGCACTATATAACTGAAATAGTAAAATTATTAAAAGACAACCTTTACCCATTACTGAATGGGAACAAGATAAGTTAAAAAAGAGAGAAAGAGAGAGAGAGATCAAGTTTCTGTAATGCCAGCAATGCTCTAGCACCAGTCAGAATTCAGAAGGTTGACATGAAGACTACCAAAATCAGACAACTTGGAAATGGTTTACTTCCACCATTTGCTGACTCTCTAGATACTTGGGTAGTGTAAACCAACATATCTGTTGGTTTACAAATATGACTCTCAAAGAAGATTTTTCTCCCGGATTTCTGGGATGGTATATTCAGTGTATTCCCCCTCCCAATATGGGTCATGCATCTCAGTACTACACCAGGCCACTCATTATCTATGAAGCTGTTAGGTTGTTCTCATGGCCTTCCTAGTCAGGGAGCATGGACAGAAGTCCTCTTATCTCCCTTTTAATTTTAATCCTTACTCTTCGTCATACACAAATAGCTATAACACCATACAATTTAACTACTTCTATGCTACAGGAGAAATAACTTAGAGACACAAAGATTAATGCTTATTATATAGCTATTTTTGCACTAGCAACTTTATATCATTTTCTTCATTATTGTTTGAGTAATAAACATACCTATTAACATAAATTCGTCCCTTTACTGATTGTTAAAGGACTCTTCCAGGTTTTAAAAAAATACCCTAAATTGCGGAAAAATTTATTTTATCTATAATAGAAACTTAATGGTAAAAGCTTCAAGGAAACTAATAAAAGATCCAGAGGTATGGGAGGAACTTCTGAATCATTCACAGAAAAGATGCTTATACCATTCAAAATGAAGAGGGCCACAAACATCTCTCAACAATACTATTTTTCTTTAAAAAATATGAGCTACTCAATATGCAGAGCTTCAAAATTAGATAAATTAGGTGTTCATTATGTTATAGTAAGATTTGCCAGACTTTCTTTCAAAATCCAGCTTTCCTTGTATGATTAAAGTTTAAAGAAGAATTCAGATGTGGAAATATCGGTTCCCTGCCAGTGAATACTGCTTAGACATCTATACTAAAAGAACTGAGCTATGTATATAACACATCTTGCATACCAAAACCCAAGGATTATTGTTTGAATAATAAACATACCTATTAACATAAATTCGTCCCTTCACTGATTGTTAAAGGACTCTTCCAGGTTTTAAAAAAATACCCTAAATTGTGGAAAAATTTATTCTATCTATAATAGAAACTTAATGGTAAAAGCTTCAAGGAAATTAATAAAAGATCCAGAGGTATGGGAGGAACTTCTGAATCATTCACAGAAAAGATGCTTATACCATTCAAAATGAAGAGGGCCACAAACATCTCTCAACAATACTATTTTTCTTTAAAAAATAAGAGCCACTCAATATGCAGAGCTTTAAAATTAGATAAATTAGGTGTTCATCATGTTATAGTAAGATTCGCCAGACTTTCTTTCAAAACCCAGCTTTCCTTGTATGATTAAAGCAGTATTTTATTCACAGTATTCAATGTATATGCAATTTCTCAGTCACACACACATTGAACTGAGTGGCATATGAACTGTTCAAATCATAAAACCTTCATTGTCTGGTTAATAGCCTGCATTCACCCACCATGAAAAATCAGGATAGCACAGTCAAAAGAATAATAGTGGAAAAAAAGAAAACCTGTTACTACTGAAAGAAACCACCCTACTAAGCTTATAGCTTCTTTACCTTCTCTATAGCATTTAACAACAGTTCTACAAGTTGTTATAAATACATACCCATACTTCATTCTCATTCTATCATTTTCTGGGTTACAGTAAAATCTTTCCAAGTGCTCCTGAGAATCATTGAATACACTCTGCCACTTTTGAGTAGTTGTCCTTTTGATCTGCCAATGATATGGCAAGACGGTGTGGTGCTTTAAACAATCCCTGCCATAAATACAAGTGCCTTGCAGAAAGTCCATGCAAATTTCGATTCCATTCTCTTGGTGAGTGTGGTACTGCAACTGGTTCACCAGCTCAAACACGAGGTCAAGGGAAGCCTCTTCACTTTTGTCCTGGAAGAGCTCAGTACTCAGCTTATCACTGGTGTCCAAAATATACTGGATTGTAAAACTGTTATCTTGGAAAACCCCTGGAACATAATCTATTACTTTGTCTAAGCAGTCAGGACTAGTAGGAACATCACTTGAAACTGGGTGCAAGAGATCAGTCTGAAAGTGCCCTGGTGTAGAATCTGCCACTGTCCCACTTATGGTTTCTGGTGGAAAGCTGTGATCTTGGATTGGAACCACTTGTTCTGGAGCATCAGCGGAAGGATGGGCTTCTGGTATCTGGTCCCCAACATTTGTCCTATCAGGAATCAGAACAGACATATTGTTTTCTGCTGGTGGGCATGATGAATTGATTTCCATGGCTTTTTTCATCATAGGTTCATGTAAGCTGTTCTCATCTGTACTCTGGTTCCTGGATCTAAAAACCCCATCAAGTGAGCCAGATTCTAGAAGAGTGTTTAATATTGGCCTCAAAGACCTCAGGGTTCCAGTTCCCAATCTTTTCTGATCCTTTTTCTTAAAACAAGTCTTCAATGGAGTGATCTTCTCAGAGAGTCTCATTTGGCATGAAAAGTCATCAGGAGGAGAGGGAGGCTGCACTACACAGTCTGGCTCAGGTTCGGTGGTTTCCATTTCCATGACGTGGATTAGCTCCAACTGCTCCTCAGAGTCTAAAAATCCTATGAGGAAAGGAAGGAATATGATCATTTACAAACTGACAGTAACTGGATTTCATTCATTCATTAAAATATTTTCTTTTTGTCTTGACTACCTGAAACCATTCCACTTATACTATATTTAGTGTTTACAGGTCAATTTTAAATTTTATTGAGAAATTAAGGCTCCAAAGCACCCAAGGCCATTCAAAAGCACAAAGCAGGTAAAAGTAGAAGAGTGTTTCAACAGGCCATTGGCATGCATTTGTGGACTTAATACACAAGAGTTTGCAATTCTGCTGGGGTATGAATTTTTATTGTAAGGCTAGAGTGGGATGGGAAATGGGAGGTAGAAATAACTGTCTAGATGATGAAAGCAGGGAAACCACATCTCCACTCAGCTTTGCAGTTCTCTTCACAGTTGTTTATGTATCACCTATCTCATCAGTTGACAAAAAGTTTCTTTAAAAGTTCATGAAATGAAAGATAAGCTTCAAACTGAAATAGTGAGTGAATTTAAGTGTGTAAGGCTATACACAAGAAACAGGGGCTCTCAATTGAAATGTTATATGGGAGAAAGCCAGGAGTCTGTTAAGCATTTCTATATTCAGAAAATTCTATAATATACTACCCAAAAATGTTAAGAGTCTACTTTTGCAACCCCCAAAAGCATTACCACTACTGATGGAATACCAGAGTGTGTTTAGTAAGAGAGGCCACATCAGCAACAAACACTGCACACTGTGTCAGAAAACAAGCACAACTTGGTAACACAGAAAGAGCTTCCTAGTTCTTGTCTTCAGAAAAGTTACATATATACATTTTTTAAAAAGCAAATGATGGCATGTTATTAAAAAATAAAACAATATAAACACATGCCAAATTTCAGATTCCTAATCAACTACTGAAAGAGACGAAAAAGTCCTATCTTCCAAGAATCAGAGTCCTTGAAAAAATTGAATTTGAAAACATTTTCCGAGATGGTGCCAAGTGAGAAAGGAATGGTGATGAGCAATTAATCCTCTTCTCTCTTGTCCAACAGACTGAAAGAGATCTGTGACGCAAGGGCCCATGACTTAATCAAATATGCATCCTAGGTGCCTAGTAAAGTGCCCACCACAATGCACACAGCTGGTGTTTCATACACATTTTGTTGGCTGAATTAGTTAAGCACATATTAAATGCTTAGTTCTTTGTTGTTGGTCAACAAAAGATAAAATTGAGTCCCCCAAAAATGAATATTAAAAATCGATTTGGAGAGTCATAATCTATGTGTAAGAAGTGCATCAAATTCAGAAAAGTAAAATACAAAGCCTAGTTTATAACAAAGTGTTAAGTGTACATGGTAAGTACAAAAGGAAAAGGTAGAAAAAGGAGAGTTTATTGTGAGCTTGGCATTGTTATGGAAAGCTTCACGAAGAAGGAGGGATCTGACGTGAGACATAAATCAACTGGAAAGCAGCCAAGCCAGGCGTTATTATTCATCATTCGGTGCTACTGCCTCAAGGCACAATTGGCACAGATTGTGGTATTCCCTCTCCACCATACCAAACTGGCCTGTGCTTTCCCCACGCGCACTCACTCAGACCACTCCTATCAAACCCAATCAAGGCAAAATAGACACTAAATCAATTTCATTTATATGAGTGTCTGCGCGTACACACGCAAGCAAGCGCGCAACTTTGCCTATTATTGCCCTTCATCAAACTCGGAAACAAAACTGGGCGGGCAGAGAACTAGAGGAGTGGCTGGAGTGGGGAAGCGACTAGAACCTAGTTCCTCAATTAGTTTTCGTAACAGAAAAATAAAGATGAGGACACATCCTTCGGTCTCCAGCGGCAGGCGACACACCGAGACTCCCCTCACCTCCTGACGCCGGGGTTCTCCGGCACTCCCGGCTGACTGCCCTTCGCAAAGAAACCGCCGCTCCTAAGCCTGCCAGCCAGCAGCCGCGCGACACCCCGGCGCCGACCGAGCCCGGGTCCGAGCGACGCCTCCTGCCGGCCGCGGCGGTCTGCTCAGCTCCTGGTCCCGGGCCGCGCCAACTCCGCGCAGCGCAGCTGAGGCGCCGCCCGGCTCTGCAATTCCGGGTGTTCCCGGGCGTCCCCGCCCCTGCCTTCCCCTCAGCAGGCGTCGGGGCGCCCCTCAACCCCTGTCCAGCCTCCTCCTGACCAACGACTCGCCCCGGCTTCCCTGCATCCCAGAAGCCACTCGCGGCACCTTTCCCTTTAATTCTTCTTTACCTCCTCAGCCCACCTCCCAAGGAGGTCCAACGGGTCTTGAGGGCTCGCAAAACTGAGCCGCGAAGCGCGGGGGAAACGCGGCTGACGCTTCCCGCGGCGGCTGGGAGGAAGGCGAAGACTTGTGCGCTTTCAAAGTTAACGTGAAAATAGCTTCCAAACTTCTGGGCTGCAGCCCGAAACGCGGGGTAGCGGGAAGGCTCCCGCAGCCGCTGTGCCCTCCCCTCGGGTCTGGAAAGGACTCCTCAGCGTCTCAGAGCACCCGGGGTCGGCCCGCGGGAAAGGCCACATAGACGCACCCCCGCCCTGACGAACTGGGAAGGGGCAGGCGCCGGCGACCCCAACTAAATCCTCCAGCGTCTCGGTCTGATGTATACACCTGCCAGAGGCTCCAAGTGCCTAATAAGTGTAAACCAATTCCATCCTGATGCTGACAGGATCCGAGTGAATTCGGTACAAAGGGCAGTCTCAAAATCAATCACCCCGATCCGCGACAGCCCAGCACACTCCTGGCGAGGGGCCGGGGCCGCGAGGCCGGCGCTCGCATTCCCCGCTAGCGTCCCTCAGCCCCTCAGTGCCCACCCGGAGCCCTTTACCTGAACAAGAGTCTGAGAGAACGGACGACTGGAGCCGAGTCGAAAGCAGCGTCCGCGCCAGGGGTCAGCGCCGAGGGCGGGAGCCGGCGTCTAGGGATCACAGAGCGGCGACGCGGCGAGCCGCGCACGGGCCATTCCGCCGCCGCGAACGCAGAAAGCCTCGACCGCGCTCTGAGTCCAGCCAGCTCGCCTGTCACCTCGATCTCTGCTTTTAGGGCTTCCGGTCGCCGCCTCCCGACGGCCCCGTCGCGGAGGCGGAGCCTGGGCGGTCGGAGGGGGATGGGGTGGGCTGAGGAGGCCGGGCGCTCAGTGGGTGCCGGGAAGAAGACCCGCCCCCTGCACGCGCGTGCGCGCTCGTTCGAGGAGAGGTTCGCTGGCTGTGTGGTGGACCTATGCTCCCGCGAGGGGGCGTGTCCTTTTTCTGGCCGGCAGGGTCCCTGCGGGTCCGCGTCTACACGCGGCTGTGAGGAAGGAAAACGCGTGCTGCGTGGGGCGGGCTCCACCTGCCTGCGGACAGATAGAGGGTCACTTTGTTCCGAGGAGACTCAGGCACTCGAGGGAGGATGTGAAACGGAACAACCCGTTTCGGTGCGGTTGGCTTTGTTTACTTGCCTCCTCCCCAGACGCCTCCAGCCCTTGAGGCCGGCGCACCCTGTGAGGAAGCAAAAGGCCGCCTCCGCCGCCGCCGCCACCAGACGAGGTAGCCTGTCCCGCGGGGGACAGGCCGGACGGGCTGCTCACCTGCAGGGGCCGGCTGTTTCGTGGGCCTCATACGCCACCTTGCAGAAGGGAAACCTAGCTCCGAGGTTTTGACGTTAGAAGCGCATTTACTTGTGTTTTAAAGCCCACAAACGCCTTAGTGACTAATTTATTCTTTCAGCAAATGTCTGTCAGAGCGCCTATTACGTGCCAGGCATGTAGCCTTGACTTCATTTTTGTCCTCGTGGAGCTTGCAGAGCACCGTGTACTCACCTCTGAAATACACACCACGTACGGAATGGCCATATTTTCTGGGCTGTAAAATACTTTGAATTGTGACTCCATATATTGAATCGATTTTCAGTGGTGAGAGAAGAAACAATACATTGAGTTCTTATAATTCATATATATGAAAAAAAGTGCTGGTAATTCCAGACATGGAAGTCAGTAAAACTAGGAGCTAAGAGGTAAAAATCATAGACGTTATGATTCTAAGCCTTTGTTAAACTGTTCTAAACCAGACTAGGTAAGCACACCAGCAAAGAATAGATTAAGGGTGTTACCTTTCAGCAGCAGCTTATTTCAGATTGCATCAAGGCAGGGCCATTAAACTACAGTGAGAATATATGGGCGGACTTCAGAGGACAATAGGTAAAAGATGAAAATCTTTACTTTTAAAATCTTATTGAGACAAGATCTTGGTCTGTGTCTACTCGTACATGGATTGCCTAGAAGCTAATATTTGAGTTTACCATATTACTGTTCGCTTTCTGTTTTTCTCGTTGTTCTGTTTCTTTACTGTCCTTTTAATAGATTATTTTTAATTCCACTCTTTTCCAACAATTAGGTTATTTGTTATACATTCTTTATACTTTTAGTAGTATTTCAGTTGTTTATTGCTATGTTCAAACCACCCCCAAGATACAATGACTTAAAACAATGGCTCTTTTATTTGCTCATGATTCTGAATTCTTCAGCTCAGGAATTCAGTCAGAGCATAGTACAGGTGGCTCATTTCTGCTCCATGATGTCTGGGGCCTGGCTGGAATGGCTAAACTAGGGTCATAAGTCTTGGGACTTGAGGATGGACATGGAGTCTCATGACAAAAATGAATGTGAACATGATGTGGAAAATATGTAGATGGAAGCCACAAGCTAAGGATGCTGGAACAGAAGGAAAGCTGTTAGCTACATGCCTTGTTTTTTCTCTTCATGGCTTCTCCATGTGGCTAATTTAGGCTTCCTCGCAGCATCATAGTCTTAGAGTTGCAAGAGCGGACATTCCAAAAAGACAAGCCTCAATGTGCAAGCCTTTACTTTTATCATGCTTACTAATGTGTCACTGGCCAAAGCAAGTCACATGGGCAAGCTCAGCATCAGTGTGGGAAGGAACTACACAAGATTGTGAATATTGGGAGGTGTGACATATTAGTAGTTACTTAGATTAGGGACAGACCACCTTAATCCAATCAAAGAATAATTAAAAGTTACTTCCAGGGTATAGCCCAGTTCCAACTTAAAATCTTTCCTCCTTAGGTCCTGAACTCAAAATTTTTACTCATCCAATCCCACACCCACTCTCCTTGAGGCAGTTGAAAACTCGGGCTAGTTTCCCAATCTCTCTCCACTATTGCTTTCCGAATGTTAATTGCCTCAAAGGGAAAAATGGCACCAAATTCTGGACTCAAAATCTTGGATTTAGGCTCCTCAGACTGCTGAAGTTTTACTGCTCCAGAAAAGGTATCATCTACAATCTCTACTTCAGATGTGGCCCATCTTTTTTTGAAGGGGAGGTGATAATGTGCCTAGCTGAAAAATTCATTTCCCTGTATGCCATGCAGTTATGGATGGCCATGGAATACACTTCTAGACACATGCTTGAGATTTCTAGAAAAGCATTTCCTTTCCTAATATAGAGTCACCCATTTCCTTTGTTCTTTCCTCTAGAATAACAGAATGGAGATGAAATTTCATGACAAAAATGAAGGTAAGTGTGACTTGGAAAATGTAAAGATAGAAGCCGTAAGCTAAGGATGCTGGGGCAGAAAGATAGAAGGAACTTGATTCACTCATGACCTCTTAAAATTGCTGCAGCTGTCCTAGACTGGCTGCCTCTAGATTTAATGTGTTTAAAAAATAAATCCCAATTTTTTAAACTGTTATCTGTTATGTATAGATGAACACCTTCTTAGCTAATTCATAAACTGTATCTCCTAAGTAATCTTCCTGCTTCTAAGCTCTACCTGTTAGATACTAATGTAAGTAGGCCCAGCACAGTGGCTCATGCCTGTAATCCCAGCACTTTGGGAGGCTGAGGTGGGTGGACCATGAGGTTAGGAGATCGAGATCATCTGGGCTAACACAGTAAAACCCTGTCTGTACTAAAAATACAAAAAATTAGCAGGATATGATGGCATGTGCCTGTAATCTTAGCTACTCGGAAGGCTGAGGCAGGAGAATCACTTGAACCCAGGAGGTTGCAGTGAGCAAGATTGCACCACTGCACTCCAGCGTGGACGACAGAGCGAGACTCTATCTCAAAAAAAAAAAAAAAGTAATGTGAGTTAGTATGTCAGAAATACAAGAACTGTCACAAAGCAATACAACTCCTGTAACACTTCCTCCTAATTCCATAAATATATCAAACTATTGTAAGATAAATAAACATATTAATTAAAGAAAAACAGGAAGTAGAAAGAAGAAATAATGATGCCCATAGTTGAACCTTCTAAAGTCTCATTTTGGCTAAGCAGTGGCTCATACCTGTAATTCCAACACTTCAGGAGGCTAAGACAGGAGGATCAGTTGAGGGCAGGAGTTCAAGAGCAGCCTGTCCAACATGGTGAGACCCCCATCTCTATGAAAAAATTTTTAATTATCTGGGCACGGTGGCATGTGCCTCTAGTCCCTGCTGCTTGGAAGCTGAGGCCTCAGGATTGCTTAAGCCCAGGAGGTCAAGGCTGCGATGAGCTACCATCACACCACTGCACTCCAGCCTGGGCAACAGAACAGGACCTGGTCTCTAAATCTCATTTTAACACTTTGATATAGTTACAATCTATCTTATTTATTCAAGGTATTTTTCTATATTATTTTACCTAACATTATGTCATTAACAGCTTTCCATGTTAATATAGTCTTTTAAACAAATAGCTGTTTAATATTCCAAGTAATTATAATATTTTTTGCTTATCTAGTTCATTCTCATTGCACGTGTCAATTTACTTTTTTCATCATAACTTATTAACTACGTATCTATTACATTCCAGTAACTGGACTAAATGTTATAAGTATACATAGATGAATAAGATGTGGCTCCTCCCAGAGCACTCTTCAAAACTACAGAAGACACAAGTATATACCACATATATATATGGCATATGTATGTATATATATTTTATATGTGACTCTAAGCTATTTAATTATCTTTATTTTTATTAATTTCTTTCTTTCTTTTTTTTTTTTTTTTTTTTNGGTCTCCCTCTGTCCCCCAGGCTAGAGTGTAGTGGTGTGATCTCGACTCACTGCAACCTCCACCTCCAGGTTCAATTCCCCTGCCTCAGCCACCTGAGTAGCTTGGATTACAGGCACAGGCCACCATGCTCAGCTGATTTTCTTATTTTTAGTTGAGATTTGGTTTTGCCATGTTGGCTAGGCTGGTCTCAAACTCCTGGCTTCAAGCAATCCACCTGCCTGGGCCTACCCAAAGTGCTGAGACTACAGGCATGAGCTGCTGTCCCTGGCCAAATTATCTTTAAGTATGCTTAAACAATGGAAATACTTTAATTTCCAATTTCTTTTATTGATAATTTTTGTTATTCTTATCTACTGAATTTGCCTTCAGCATGACTGAGCAGTTATCAGTAGAGTACTTACAATGAACACTTTATTAATATAAAAGCCATTCCTTCTTACTTGAATTTCAAGTGACCCAAGGTCTCCAGTTTTCATTTTCATTAACAGTAAGTGCTATCAAAATGTAAATATCAATATTCTGTTGCTTTCCGTTTTCATAATTGTTAGTTGATTTCTTAACATCCTTCTTGTGGAAAGAATCATTTTTGGTTACCACATAAGGGAACAGTGAATAACATGACTCACAGCAGAATGAAAAACCTGGGATTTGAAAACAAAGGCTCTGTCTTTTAGCTTTGCTATACAAAAAGACAGCATTCCCCATGCTATACCTGGGAAATAAAGCCAACTTGCATAAATGGCAGACTGACAACTCCTTATCTATGAGGGCTAAGTTAGAGCTATAATGTTTTCTATGAGTGTACATGTAAGAGTAATTTATTCTTTAACTCAAAAGTGTATATGTGCATGTATCTCATATATCTAAAGTGAAAGAGGCTGGATCTAGTGGCTCACACCTATAATCCCAGTGCTTTGGGAGGCCAAGGAAGGAGGATTACTTGAGGCTAGGAGTTTGTGACCAGCCTGGAAAACATAGTGGGACCCCATCTCTACCAAAATTAAAAAAAAAAAAAATTAGCCAGGATTGGTGCAATCCCAGCTATTAGGCAGTTGAGGCAGGAGGATCACATGAGCCAAGGAGGTTGCAGTGAGCCGTGGTTGCATTACTGCAGTCCAGCCTGGGCAACAGAGCAAGACCCTGTCTAAGTAAGTAAATAAATAAAATGAAACTATTATTATCTAGGCAACTGAATTACTATTGTTTTTAAACATATAAAATTTATTATTAAAAATACTGTCTTGATGTAATTATAATGAACCAACTCCTGGAACTTACCCAAAGGAAGATTTCCTATTTCCCTGAGGAGTTCTGTTCCTGTGGGGTTCTACAAGAAGATGAGGTTTGGATTGTAATTTATTTCAACTGGGTTTTAAATATAGTGTTGGTGGGAGAAGATTAGAAAATGCTGCTAGGGAATATGTTGAGCAGCAAGGCAGGGGAGTTAACACACATGAATTAATGATTTAAAGGTAACCTCAAAGGTAGGTTGGTTTAGAGCCTGTCATGAACATGCTTTGATAAGTGTAAATTTAAAATTCATATTTTGAATTTTATTTTGATAGAAAATGCACCTTGCAGATCATTTCCAAGTTTTAAAAATATTTCTCAGTTATAATTTCCTCCCTCCTGTAACTCACATTTTTCTCTGCCTCTGATGAGGTGCCTCTGTCTGGGAAAGGTGAGGGTTACAAGGCCTAGTAGAAAATGAAACAGATAAAGTATGAATAGGACAAGATCTAAAATGCTTAAACAGTATCACAGAGTATTCTGATTATCTGAGATTTGCGTTTGTAAATTGCCTAATCATCTGCTTGACTGTTTTTTCACAAGATCCTTAACAGTCAAACATTCTCTTCAGTCCCTTCAGTTTTGGACCTGTTGAGTAATTCTCACAACACATACTCAAAGTACTGTCTGATCTAACTGGCTTTAGGTCTATATAAGATGATTTCCTCTGAGAAGTCCCCAGATGTTTTCCTGACCATTCAGTCAATTGATTCAACGCACATTTATCTGGCAGTAGTTATGCAATGATGACTAAGACAGTCTCCACTCGTCGGTTTTTTATAAGGAAATGTGTGAACTGACCACTCAGAATCACTTGGGAAAGCCTGCTGCAGATTCCCCAGTCCTACCCTAGTCCTCCTAAATCTCAGGGAACAGGTCAGGAGAATTCACACTTTGAAGAAATTCTCTAGGCACTACTGCTTTAAGAACTCATAGTCTTTTAAAACACTTGGGGGTAGGGAGGACATGGCTTCAGGGTGTGGCCAGATAGGAAAACACACACACTAGCCTAGCCGGTAAGTGCCATAATAGAGATACATATGTAAGGCCAAATACAGTCAGCCCTCAGCATCTGCACACTCCACATCCATGGATTCAACCAACCATAGGTCGAAAATATTTAGGAAAGAAAACAATAAAAAAATTAAATATGAATAAAAGTACAATATAACAAC